AATTGCTTGAAGACCCTTCTAAGATTGGTTTTGGATGATCTTGGACGATGAGGTCTGCCCGCTGTGGACATGTCAGGGACACCCTGTGCTGGACAACCTTCTAGATGTGTTTGGGTCACAAAGAGGCCGCCACGCTGAAAACAGCAGGACAGGGTGCCACCAGCACTCACTCTCTTAGCAACATTCTTCACAGGCCTTGCGGCCCAGGCCACAGCTCCCAGGCTGAGGGGAGTGGGGTGCCCCTGCAGCCTCTTCTGGAGGAGACCCCAGCTGCAGGGAAAGTGCTTCCCCCAGGAGCCCCTCAGGCTGTAGGCGGCCCCTCTTGCCCACCCAGCCCAGCCAGCTCCCTGGTGCCTTCCTCTGAATGCTCTCCTCCAAGCTCTTCCCTCCCCTCCCTGGTCCATGTCCCTCAGGATTGGGGACCCAGGAGATGCTGTCTAGGACTAAACTTCCTCCCAGACCCTCTGCGTCCCCTCTTCTTTGCACCCTGCATTCCCATTTCCCAATAACCAGTCCACACAGAGTGTCAATGGTGGTTTATTTTTTTCCTTCTCCACTGAGGAGGCTGGAAATGGTCACCCTCACAGTGAGTAGCAGGAGGAGGCGGGATCTGTGTCCCGGGGTCTGAGATTCTTAAACCATTTTGTTCCATCTTCCCTCAACTCCTCCCAATGCCTCTGACTGCTCTTCCTTTCTTCCAAATCCCCAGTAGAGAAGCTGGGAGCAGGGTAGGGGTGGGGTGCAGGTGGAGATCTGCTGGGGTCAGGGCTCCTAGCCGGTGATGTTCCGAGTCATCTCGCACGCCCAGCGCTGCAACTGCAGACAGAAATCGTCGTTCCAGCGCCCATCATGCTGGACTTCGGCACAGTCTTCATTTCTGCCCTCCTCATGCCCCTGCCAGTTGTTTGGTTCACCAATGGCCCAGTTCCTAGGAATGCAGGACAGAACTCAGACTCTGACCCCCCCATCCCAGCAACCCTCACCCACCTCAGAAAAGCACAGCCTTGGAGAGTTCAGGGAGCAGAGGCTGCAGCCTGGGAGTCTGCAGGGGAGAGGGTTGGGGAATTGGGTCCCTAAGGATGGGGGGGGCGGGGAGGGGGCACTTACCTGTAGCTGTTCCCATAGTCTGTGCCATCCACCCACTTCCAGGAGCCATCGCTCTCAGCGAGTCCTATCCAGGTGTGAAAGGGGCTCGAGTGCTGTGCAATGAATCTCTGGAAAACAGGTGGAATGGAGTGTCTAGTCCAGCGAAGGCGAACCTATGACACGCGTGTCAGAGGTGACATGCGAACTCATTTATTTGGTTGATTTTTCTTTGTTAAATGGCATTTAAATATATAAAATAAATATCAAAAATATAAGTCTTTGTTTTACTATGGTTGCAAATATCAAAAAATTTCTATATGTGACACGGCACCAGAGTTAAGTTAGGGTTTTGCAAAATGCTGACACGCCGAGCTCAAAAGGTTCGCCATCACTGACCTAGTGGCTGCTGTGAGAAACAAATGTGATCGTGGATCTGAACCCCAAAGAACCGTTAGAACTCTCAAGCAAGTCATATCAGCGTGTGCCCACAACTGTGTGGGTGTGCCTGTGAGCGTGCGCCTGCGCCTGCGCCGTTAGCTCCCACCGACACCGTCTCCTGCCGTGACAAGTCTGCAGCATTATCTGTACCGAGCCATCAAAAATACATTCGCTTCTGGCCAAAGCCAGGCTCTCCGACAGCCCTGGGGGCTGGAGGAAGCAGGGGTGGGGGGAGGCCTGCAAGGTGGGGTCCTGTACCTTCTGGACAAAGGTGGTCAGCTTTGGTGAGAGCTGGGACTGTGCCTCCTTAGTCAGACTGGGGCCTCTCTGAAGATGACATTCTGTGTCTCTGCATTCTGGGCACTCCCTGGGGGCAGAAACCATATTACCCACCACCACCACCACCACCTCTTCTCCCTCAGAAAAGCAGAGAATGCCACTCAGTGTAACTGTGGCTGAATCTGCTTAAGGGCCGGCCACCTCTGTGGTGTGTTTCCGGGGAGGAGTTCAGGGTTGAGGGTGTCCTGGCTGCCTGTTCTCTCTCAGGGCCAGGGGTCTGCCCTGCGGGGTCTGATGCTGTTCAGACCTGGATTCTTGGATGGAGATGCCTCTGAGAACCGGGACCATGGTGAGTGTCAGCGCATTTATCCAGGTGACCTGGCCTATTGCTCTCCCAGCTCTGAGGGTCCTGGGAGGCGGGCGGAGGAAACAGAGATTAAGCTGAGAGATCCCGCCGGAAAGCACGCAACCTGCTACAGCCTCTGTTTTGAACTGAACGGGAAAAACCATTCAAGAGAAGGGAGTGATCAGTTGGCCATCCTCACAGGTCAAAAAGGTGTGAGTGACAATGCGGCAGGAAGAATTCAAGTTTGATAAAAAGCAGAACTTTGCAAAAACAGATAATTATCTAGATAATAATTCAGGCAAAAGGGATTTTCTTCAATTACATATTCTACCCTTTTTTCATTTTTGCACTGAATTAGTCATTCTTGCATTCATTCATTCATGCAACAAACATTGAATAATCCAGGTAATTGCTTCCATTTTCCACTTCATCCTGCTGGGCTGTCTGTCAGCCAGCAGGCCTGGGCGAAGGTGTGCATGTGCGTGTGTGTGCGTGCGTGCGTGCGTGCGTGTGTGTGTGTGTGTGT